CTTGAATCTGTTACATTCTTGGGTCATGTCAGGTCCTGAGAAGGAATAAAGGTTGATCCTTAAAAGATTGCGGCGGTGAAGAATTGGCCTAGACCTATAACTCCAACAGAGATTTGCAGTTTCTTGGGCTTAGCTGGGTATTACAGGAAGTTCGTGGAGGGGTTCTCTACTCTTGCCTCTCCGTTGACTAAATTAACGCAGAAAGCGGTTAAATTCCAATGATCCAATGCTTGTGAAAGGAGCTTCCAGGAGTTGAAATCGAGATTGAATACGGCACCGTTGTTGGCTCTACCTGAGGGTACATGGGTTGTGATGCTTCAAGATCATGCTTGGGTATGTGTTGATGACACATGGCAAGGTTATAGCTTATGCTTCTAGACAACTCAAGAATCATAAAAAGAACTACCCAACACATGACTTAGAGCTTGCGACGGTGGTTTTTGCATTGAAGATTTGGCATCATTACTTGTATGGGGTCCATGTGGATGTATTTATGGACCACAAGAGCGTTCAATATATTTTGAAACAAAAGGAATTGAATTTGAGGTAGAGAAGATGGCTTGAGTTGCTCAAAGACTACGACATCGATATTCTATATCACCTAGGAAAAGCCAATGTTGTGGCGGATGCTCTTAACTGGAAATCTATGGGTAGTTTGGCTCACCTGAAGGCATGTCGAAGGCCGTTGGCCAGGGAGGTTCACCTGTAGGCTATTTTGGGTGTTCGTCTTTGGAAATCTAATGAAGGAGGAGTAAATGTGCAGAATAGGGCTAAATCATCGCTTGTGGCGGAGATCAAGGAGAAATAATTCAATGATTCATTGTTGGTACAACTGAAGGAGGGGACTCATAAACATAAAATTATGGCTTTTACTCTTGGCATGAATGATGGTACACTAAGGTACCAAGGGCGGCTATGTGTACCAAATGTAGATGGTCTTCGGGAAAGAATCTTGGCTGAAGCTCACACTTTCAGGTATTCCGTGCACCTAGGTTCTACAAAAATGTATCATGATCTCAAGGAAGTCTATTGGTGGAATGACATGAGAAGGAATATGGCGGACTTTGTGCAAGATGTCCGAATTCTCAACAAGTGAAGGCCGAGCATCAACGTCCTGGTGGGTTGGCACAAAGCAAAGAAATTTCAATGTGGAAATGGAAAATCATTAATATGGATTTTTTGGTAGGGCTACCGCGCACTCCACACAAGTTTCACTCAATTTGGGTAATCGTGGATCGACTCACGAAATCAGCACACTTATTGCCAGTTAAATCTACCAACATAACAGAACAGTATGCTCAGTTGTATATCAAGGAAATATTAAAGCTTCATGGCACTCCAGTTTCCATCATTTCCGAACGAGGAGCTCAGTTCATAGCTAATTTTTGTAACAACTTTCAGTAAGGTTTGGGTACGCAGGTAAATCTTAGCACAACCTTCCATTAGCAGATTGACGGGCAAGTAGAGCAGACTATTCAGAAGCTTGAGGACATGTTGCGTGCTTGTGTTCTTGATTTCAAAGGTGGCTGGGATGATCATTTTCCGCTTATAGACTTTGCTTATAAGAACAGTTTCCATGCTATTATTCAGATGGCACCTATGGTAGGTGATGTAGATCTCCCATTAGGTGGTTCAAAATTGGGGAAGCTGAGTTAATAGGGCCAGACCTCGTGCATCAGGCCATGGAAAAGGTTAAGATCATAAAGGAACGGTTGAAAACTATTCAGAGTTGTCAAAAATCCTATTCTGATGTTCATCGCATAGACTTAGAGTTCAACGAAGATGATTGGGTATTTTTGAAGGATTCCCCCATGAAGTGTATTATGCAGTTTGGATGAAAAGGAAAATTGAGTCCGAGGTATGTCGGTCCATACAGAATCATTCAGAAGATTGGTCAGGTAGCGTACAAGCTTGAGCTACCACCTGAGATGTCATTAGTGCACTCGGTATTTCATGTGTCTATGCTGAAGAAAGTAATCGGGGATCCATCGCTTATCGTGCCAGTTGAGACTATTGAAGTTAATAAAGAGTCATCATATGAAGAAGTTCCAGTTGCCATTCTTGATAGGCAAGTCTGAAAGTTGAGGAAAAAGGAAATTGCCTCCGTGAAAGTGTTATGGCGAAACTGGCAGGTTGAAAAAGCCACTTGGGAAGCCGAGGAAGAAATGAAAAAGAAGTACCCTCACTTGTTTGAATAGCTGTGTAATCCTTTCTTTTTATGAACTTGTTGGTTATGAATTTTTGTATCACTCTTTCAGTTTATGTAAAGGTGTTCCTTTCAATTATATGTTGCTTATGAGGCCACAGTTGGTATTGTTATGTGTTTTGTCACGTCATTGGGTTGTGCATATATTTGTAAGATGTGTTTCTGGGGCTCTCTGACAGGTGGATAGGCCTCGTTACAACGGAAACTCTGGCAAAATTTTTGGAAATTTAGGGAGTTAGCCAAATTTGGGGCTGCTGGTATCTGGTGTGAAAACTGAGTTGCATAGGGTGCTGATGAGTGAACCTTGAACCTCATTCGAGGATGAATGATCTTAAGTGGGGGAGGATGTAAGGCCCATAAAATTTTTCCTAATACCCAGAATTTTGTGGTGCGAAGTTAGGATTATGTGTTAGATATTGCTGAAATTCTTTATGGCGAGCAAGCTCGCCGCGGTTTGGACTTTTTGGATTGAATAGTACGCTACAGAGTTAAAGGAAAATGTTTTGAAGAAGTGTGCATTTCTGCAGCCCGTTATGCAGCCGCATAATCATTCTGCGGGCCGCAGAATGGCCGCGGAGTGAGGCAGTATTTTTGGCCAATTTTTAGGTCAGTTTCGCAGCCAATTATGCGACCGCATAACTACTTCGCGGGCCGCACTTTGGTCGCATAAATGTCCTTGTACTTTTATGAAGGAAGGTTTTGCGGCGCATTATGCGATCGCATAACAGGTCTGCAGACCGCATATTGGTCGCAGACCGAGGCAAAAAATTGAAGTCCCTGAGGGCCCTTTTCGTGGTCATCTTGCGGACCACATAGCCATTATGCGGTCGCATATGCGACCGCAGATCCATATCGGGGCTCTAGATTTCTACTTTTTAGACCCGATACTACGCCGATATATCTTATGCCATACCTCATTTTAGCCCATTTTCTGGTACTTATAGAGTGAGAAAGGGAATCTTAAAGGGAGGAAGTGTTCTTCATCAAAATTACTCTTCAATTCATGTTTAGACCTTGAAAATTGTCAAGAGAGGCACCTAGGTCTGCTTCCTAAGATAAATAAGACTCTATCACCAAAACTCTTAATATCAACATGCAACAACAATGGGCCACTAGAAAGGAAATTCACGGGGATAGGAGTTCTTACCTTGCATGCATGTATTCTTAAGGTATGTGGGAAGGTTGTGAGTAAAAGATGGAAAAGAATGGGGTGTGGGTTGGCATAGTATTTCATAAAAAGGGCCATGAAACCTTAGTACACACAAAGTGTTCGATTGAATGCTCAAGTGAGCTAGAATTACGATCGTTTTACTAATTTTGGGTTCAATTTTTCCTATATTGCTAAAATAGATTGAAGTTGCTAATTCCGGAATATCTTAAAGTTTTAAGAGGCTAAATTGAGGTATGTATGGCTAAACCTCCTTCTTCTTAGAATCGAAACCCCTGGTGTTCGTGTACTTGGTGTAGGTCCCCAAATCGATCATATTAGAATTGTCACACCTCCTTTTTACACACCTACCCCGAAGGATAATGTATAAGGGAGTTTTTCCATTTAAAGTGACATTATTCGAAATGGGATTATTTATTTGAGTTTTAGAGTCGCCACTTGGGATAGGATTGGCTTTTGGTGTCCCAAGTCACCGGTTTAATTTAAATCCCAAATCGAGGAAAATTTCGACTTCCCAATTGGAGTCTGCGAACCAGAGATTCTGAATGAGGAATTCTGTTGACCCAAGGGAAGGTGTTAGGCACCCCCGGATCCCGTGGTTCTAGCACGGTCGCTTAAACTATTATAAATGGCTAAAATCTGATTTTTTATACATATTATTATTTACCGCTTTTAGTTATTTTTACGAAAGTGAACGCCGTTTAAGAGCGTGTTTTCGGATCATGTCACATGAAATGCACCCGGATCCGCGACACCTCTTATTCAACATTTTGGGATTTGGATTTGGGTTGCATGAAATGCACACCCGAGTTTAGGAAAGTAATATTATTAAAATTCGTGCCTAAAGTGACTAGCGTATTATTATCTTTGCGGGAAGCCATGAAAATTCGCTAAATGGCATGTCCCGATTTCTCAGTATTTCAATAGAAGTAATTGAAGATGGCCACGCAATTTATGCATTTTATTTGGCGCGGCGCACCTCGTTTTTATTTTAAAGGCCAACTAAAAAAACTACGATTTTCTATCAAGTATTGTCTCTAAAGGGACCCTAATTAGCATTATGAATTATTATTAAAAAAAAATCAAGGGATTCGGGCCTCAAACTCAAGTCCACATTTGAACAAGAGGATAACCTCCTAGTTCAAACGTGCTACTTAGCTTGGAAGGCCCAAATTATAATTTAAACTCAACAACCTTTAAATCTAATGGCTTAAATTTTCAACCTGTTGGGCCTCAAGAGCCAGCCCTTGGGGATAAGCCTGTCCCATTTTATTTGTAAAGCCACCTACAAGGCTGTCCAGCATCCAGGCCATAGCACAGGCCCAGATAGAAAATAGGTTGCAAGTTGGGACTCAGGATTTAAATCACTTGGGCTTCTGATTATACATTAGGCCCAGATCCCATTTTTTAACAAAAGTACAGCCTTGGGCTCTTGAATGAGCTCAAGCTGATGTTGATTCTTGGGTTTGTTAATAATTTTGTAGACAAATGCATAATTTGCTCAAGTCACAGACGTGCTAACTTTGAAATGCAAACGTCTCCTGTAGTTTCAAACTTGTCTAATAATGGATAACCAATACACTCGATCTAAAATTTTTAACAACCTTTAGCTTCAATTAATACACCTCAAAACAGCTCAATCGCAAACTGAACATGAAAAGGACTACCGGAGCTTCCACTTCGTTTCTGAATCATTTTTGAACAAACAGATGATATGACTATTATCTTTAACACATGTCTAATAATCGACCACAAATGTTTGATGAATAAACTAAGACTAATATTATGTTCAAGCTACAGGGCCAGCTTCATTGCAAGCATGCTCATACGTTACTTTAGATTCTGCTTTCAAATGGCATCTTAATCTAACCTTAAATCTCAAATTAATCTAATAACCTAAACTGAGATTNGAGGCTTGTAGACATATATCGTGTACGTGAAAGATTGTACGGCCTTGTCGGCCTATGTTTTGAGTTTATAAATGGTTATGTTGGCCTATTAGGCCCGTATGTCACATGTATATGATGATGCAATAAGAAAGATACGTTATGTTGGTACTCGGTTGAGTAAGGTACCGGGTGCCCGTCGCGGCCCATCGGTTTGGGTCGTGACAGTATGAGCCTTGGGTATCAGCTTATCACCAGCTTGCATCTCATTTACCACTCTTAACAGAATGATATTCACGAAACTATCTGGATCAATCAAAACTCGTTTCACATTAGTATCATGTACAAGTAAAGATATTACCAGTGCATCATTATGTGGGGTTAGCACGCCGTCTGCATCTGCATCATCAAATGTAATACTATCTTCTTCCAAAACCTGTTGAACTCGCTTCCCGTATGCAACTGTTATTTTTGACATCTTCCTCACTGCTGTATATGTTACGCCATTGATTTCTTCTCCTCCACTTATGACATTAGCCGTCCTTTTTGGTGAAGGGGGTTTTGGGGGCTCCTGCCTATTTTTCATATATGCCTGCTTTCCCTTTTCACTGAATAATTCAGTTAAATATCCTTGTTTTAATAAATGTTCTACTTCACCTTGCAGCAACCTGCAATCTGCCGTTTTGTGACCGTGATTGTTGTGAAATTCGCACCAAAAATCAGGGTTTCGCCTGTTCGGGTTTGATCTCATTTCTTTTGGCTAGTGTACCATGTCTCCCATGCTCCTTAAAACAGCCACCAACTCGAATATATGCTAACATTAAAACTGTAACCGTCGATCTTTGCCTACGAGCTTTTGTCATCATCTCGCATCTCTCGCGTGTTTCGTTCTTTTCCGGACCTTGATGATGAACCTGACTCTCTATCTCTTGATCTATGATCGTACCTTGGGTTTTCCTGTTTTGAACGTGAGTCTTTTCCTGCCGGTCCATGTATGGCCCGTACCTGTTTTTCCCGGACCTTTTTTCAGTTTCAGCTCGCCTTGAACTTACCCTTTCATCCCTTTGAGATTAAATGATGGTATCTTCTTCTATCCGCAACTTCGTGCTGTATCTGTTATAAACATCATTCTAAGTTGTTGCTTGAAATTCTCGTAAACTTTCCTTGAGTCTCCTTGTGGCTTCTGAGCTTTTTTCATTTAGATTGCTGGCAAATGCACGTGGCAACATCATCCTCTCACGCTGGAATCTGTCTACAAATTCCCTGAGCAACTCTGTATCTCCTTGCTTTATTTTAAGAATTTCCTCCATTCTTTTCTCAACTTTTTGAGCTCCCGAGTGTGCTTTGATGAATGAGTCTTGTCACACCTCCTTTTTTACACACCTACCCCGAAGGATAATGCATAAGGGAGTTTTTTCATTTAAAGTGACATTATTCGAAATGGGATTATTTATTGATTTTTAGAGTCGCCACTTGGGATAGGATTGGCTTTTGGTGTCCCAAGTCACCGATTTAATTTAAATCCCAAATCGAGGAAAATTTCGACTTCCCAATTGGAGTCTGCGAACCAGAAATTCTGAATAAGGAATTCTGTTGACCCGAGGGAAGGTGTTAGGCACCCCCGGATCCCGTGGTTCTAGCACGGTCGCTTAAATTATTATAAATGGCTAAAAATTTGGTTTTATGCATGTTCAAACCTATAGTGCAATTTTATAAATTTGTTTAACCGCTTTTAATTGGTTTTTATGAAAGTGAACGCCGTTTAAGAGCGTGTTCTTGGATCACGTCACATGAAATGCACCCGGATCCGTGACACCTCTTATTCAACGTTTTGGGATTTGGATTTGGGTTGCATGAAATGCACACCCGAGTTTAGGAAGGTAAAATTATTAAATAACACGCCTAAAGCAACTAGCGTGTTGATATCTTTGCGGGAAGCCATGGAAATTTGCTAAATGGCTTACCCGATTTCTAAAATATTTTAACACGGTATTTAATGAGAGTCCCGCAATTTGTGCGTTTTTGTTCGGCGAGGCTCATCTCACTTTATTATTTAAAGGCCAACCTAAAGCATACTACGATTTTCCATTTATTTTTGTCTCTAAAGGGTCTAATTAATTTGCATTTATAAATTCGGGCCTCGAGTTCAAGTCCGAATTCAAATAAAAGGGTGGACCCTTTTAATTTAAACCCGCTACCTAACTCAAAAACCTAAATTTATATTGCAAATTAATCCCCCCATATTCCTAATGTAAATTTAATGGATTTTTAGCTTCCAGCGTTTTTTTGGGCTCTGAGAAATTTGGCCCAGGCCTGCAATGCGAAGCTGTCCAGATGGCTAGGCTGGGGTGCAAACCCATTTTTGTTTAACAAAATCTGGTCCTTAGTGGACTACCCAGCTGCGGGCTTCTAATATGGTCCTTGGGTCCAGGCCCAAGACTATACTGCCTAGGCCTTGAAGGACAATGAGCCTGATATTTTGCTGGGCTTGCGTTTGAGCCCAGAAGCAGGATTCAAATTGAAACAAGGCCTAATATTGATCATGAAACATCAAACTTCAATTTATTACGTGACTTTTATTTGTGAATCAACATGCTGAGACTCAACTTTAAATCCAGTATCTAGACCAACATATCCATCTATGATTATGACGATGTATGTACATATGATGTCTATTTTTCTAATTAAGCATGAATACTTAAACAAATTTCCTGAAACGGTTATACTACATTTGTGATTAGTGATGCATGCATATTGGTGATTTCCCTTTATTGAAATTCAACACAGTCCGGAACAGTTCCTAAAACATTCATACTACAAGAAATCAGCTAAAACTAACATGAGTTATTCTATCAACCTAATATAAATTTGCTAACAGATCTAAAAGACAACAATTCATACAGCCCAGATACAGTCCAGTTTAATTGGTTCATACAGTCTATAGATTATAAAATACATATCAAAAGTATATTTAATCAAATCCCTATCAGTCACTATTTATTTAACTAATGCTACATAGCAGCCCAAAAACACACTTCAGGGAGCAAATGAAGGAGCATTTTATTTCATGTTTTCAATCCAAAGCTACAGCATATCAAACTCGAATATGTACCTGGAAATCGAGGCAAAAAAAAAAGGACAATGGGTAGTCAGCAATGTCACAGCAGTTCAGCAGTAGAAACAGACCAACAACAGTCGAAAATAGGATAGAACGGGCTACAGCAATCCCAAAACAAACACCAGAGGGAAAAACACCAACGAAACTCGACAAACAACCCAGGAACGCCCAGAACATTTCGGCAACCAAATATTGAGCTAAATGATATAAATCAACTACTGAAAATCAAAATTAACCTAAGGTTTCCAATGGAACAGTTTTTTTGGGATTTTTGAAAGTTTTCTGTTGTTTTTTTTTTTGGTTTTTATGCAAAATTTAAGATCTAAAAGAAAGCTTCAGAACTGTAGAACTTCAAATTTGAACCTCTTTGGATTTTGAAATTCAAATTTGAGATTCAGACTTGCAGAGAATGGATTTTGGGGAAATTATATGCTGGAAGGGTTTTTTGGAATTTCAGAGATGTAAACTCTTGAATTTTTCAGAGAGTGTAAACTTGTAGATCAAGGCACTAGGCCTGCTTTTTATAGGCAAGGAAGGGGGCAGAATGTTCTAGAAAATTTTACTCATTTTTCCCCCTTTTTATTTTCAGAAATTGGCTATTAGACCCTAATTTTGTGACTTGTTACCCAAGCTACTGCATTAAAATGCAGAAAACTTACACTAAGGCCCCCTTCTAGAAGGACCTAGGGTATTCTTTTAGCTATGAAAAAACTAACTACCCTTGCTTGAGTTCTAAAATTACTATGTCTTAACAAACTGGGCCATTTTCAATGCCCAAAATACCCTGAAGACCCCCTGAAATTACTAACCAAACCCAGACCCCTTTGCCCTAGTTAAAAACTTAGCCATGGTTAATCATAATGAATCNCTATTGTTTTTGGGTTTTGTATGTTGAATTTCAGATTGAAAACTGGAAATTATAAGAAGAATGCTACTTATTTATTTATTTTTTTTGGCTGGAATCTCTGGGATTTCTTAGGCTAAAAGCTAAAAGAACCTCCTCCTCAAAGCAATTCAATGCCTATTTATAGGCAAACCAAAAAATGCTGGAAACTTCTCTCACTTACCCTCCCCTAAATAAGACCTAAATGTGCCCACATGTGACTTCCCCAGTATAATTTTATTCCTGTTTGCTGATTCCCCAAACTGCCCTTACCCCTTCCCTGAACTAAAACAAGTAATTAACTGCCCTAATTTCCTTTTGTTTCTACCATTAACCCTACACCAAACAATCGAGCCAAATACTTCTACCCAAAACTAAAATCCGGCCAATAGACTAATCAAGACTAAAACGTAATCAAACTAATCTAAAGATCAAGAAACAATTATAAGCAAAACATGACTAAAATAACAGTAAAAATCAGAAGTTAAACATTAATAAGCTAGACCCTAAAATTCAACATGCAGAATAACAGAAAATGATAAAGAAATTAATTAACAAAAATGAAAAAAAAGAAACTTACTAATAATAAGAACTCCGGCCAGCCGCCGACGTCCGAATCTTTCAAGATTTTTGACACGTAACATCCCTAACCATGTGTTTTCACAAGAAAACACCTGGTTAAGGATATTACGGTCCAAAATCACAAAGATTTTGGGTTAGGGTTCTTGGCCGGAAAATTTTAAAAAAAATCAAATTCGAATCATTCCGGCCAGATTCGAGGAACACGGTTTGGGTATTAGGGACGAGAAGGTTAAGGCGAGTCTATGGTGTAAATTTGGGCTCATTTGGCGTAGGTGACGCACTGGCCGGAAAACTTCAAACGGATATTCGAAGCTTTCTGGGTAGATTCGAGGTATAGGAACATGGGGAATGGAAAGAGGAGGTTGGGGGGAATCGATGGTGTTAATTTGGCGGCCATCGGCGTATTTTGCGTCCTTGCCGCCGGCGGGGTTGACGGAGGGTATTAAGGCGGCTAATCTCTAGGGTTTGGTATGTTAGAGACGGACTAGGGGGTCTGAAGGGGGGTGGGTATGGTTCGAACATTTAAATATTAAGTGATGGGGGGTTCTCGACCGTTAGATCAAAAAACCTAGACGGTTGAGATCGATTCTCCGCTAAACGGCGTCGTTTGGGTATGGGGTAACTGGACTGGGTATTGAAGTGGGCTTGGGACTGTTATGGGGCCTGTTTGGACGGTTCAGGGGTGTTTATTAATTGGGCTAGGAAATGATTTGGCCCAATTTTGGGGTCTTTAAAAAGGAAACCCCAATTCTTTTAATTTCTTTTCATTTTCTTTTTTTTTCTTCTTTTTTTTTTCAGATTTTTGTCAAATACAAAATTAAGCTAAAAAGACTTGATTTAATTCTAAAACTAAACTAATTATTTTTCCAAAAATTAATTAAGTCCTAATTTAAAGAAAACTATGACAAATTCGGAAATTAAAGGTAAAATGCAAGAAGAACTATTTTTGGTATTTTCTTTCCTTAATTAAATATTCATCCTAAAAAGTAAAAAATTAGGTCCTAAATGCAAATGCACTATTTTTTGTATTTTTCTATAAATTAACCATGCACACAAAAATGCAAGCAAACATGAAAATTATGCGATCAATTCCTAAAAATTCAAATAATAAAGAAAAATCCTAATTCTAAGGAATTTTATAGGAGTGATTTAAGCGTGGCAAAAATCA